CTTCCCGCACTGCCTCCCCCTCCTCCACCGCGGCCTGCGCCTCCGCGGGGCTGCCCGAGCCCCATCTTCCTCCCCAACCCAAAGCAGCGGGGGAGATCACGGGAGTCGCTGTCTTATTTTAATGCCTTGGCGTTTTGGGGTGGTTTCTCCCCGGTTTGGGGGTTCTCCTCCCTTGGCGAGGTGCAGGATGAAGGATTTTTAGCCTGGGAGTTGCTAGGCGACGGCTCCCAGGGTGATGGTGCAGTTGCCCTGGCAACCGCAGGCTGGGCAGCTTGGAAGGAGCAATTTTGGGGTTCTCCCTGGAGTGTGTGGGTGAATTGGGTGTCCTTGGTTTGGGTGGGGGGCTGCAGCAGGCAGGGAGAGCGGAGCTGGGGGGCCTGCAGGCCGGAGGAGCCCTGCTCCCTAGAGAAGGGCTTTTGCTGGTGGGCGAGCAGCGATGTCTCTGCATCTTGGGTTATTTCTTGCTCTCTTGGTGGGTTTCGGAGCCGTCCCTGGGAGAGAGGCATTGGTGGGAAGGGTCTGTGAAGGTGGCATCTTGGTGCGGCTGAAATTGTCCCTGCAAAGAGGCTCAGCCCCCTCCCAGGGCCATGTAACGTGGGTAGGGGTCTGCGAGCCACCCCTGTGGGGCCACCAGAATCCCTCAGTGTGCTTCTGCTTCATCTACAGTCTTCATTTTGTGCCTGCTGCTGTCCCCCTCTTCCTCCACATCACTGATCTCATTAGCATTTATCCCTTAATTCCCTTGGGGTTCCGGATTCAGAGCTTCCAGGTCCCTGGTGCTGGATGCAGGGCAAGCATCCAAGCTGCCAGCCGCAGTTGTCACCTCCATGTGCCTTCCCCCCCCCATCTGAATGAGCTCAGCTGATTCGGGAGCACAGCTGGCCCTAAAAATAACTGCAGCAAAGCTCCCTGAGTGCTAATGACCCCCCTGGAGATCTCCTGGTCCTACAGAGCAACCCTGATCCCTGGGAGGAGCAGGGGGACCAGGGACAGCGGTGAAGAGGGGATGTGTGAGGTGGAAATTAATTTCCAGGGGCTAACAAGGATGGAGACAACCTTGCCCTGGCTCCTTTTCGCCACGCAGAGTGGCAGGAGGATGCTATTCCTGGTTTCCTCAGCGGATACATTCCCTGCATCCCAAAGGATGGAGGGGGGGGACATGGCAAACTTCTCAGAGAAGTTTTGCCTTGGGACCAGCCGATGCCTAAGGGCTGGCAACCCAAAGCGACCTGGATTTGGGCCACCCGCCTCAGCCTACGCTTGCCCACAAGGCTGGTGGTCCAACCCTGCCGGGTTCTGAGCCCTCTCCCCGTGCTCAGGTGTGCTCCCAGAGCTTGCGGGCAGGAGGGAGGCGCTAACATTGGGAAGTCCTTGCCAATGCTGCAACTTTGGGGAGCTGCGTCCCTGGTCCTCGCACACGCGCGGGGCTCAGTTGCCATCGTTACCGGGTATTTTAGCTCGGTGGTTTATTATAGCAGCTCGGGAGGCCGGCACCAAGCGGGGGTGACAAGGGGGACGAGATCTGCGGCTTTGGGAAGTGCAGAGCAATGGGATGTGGGTTTTTTGATGTCCTTTTCCCCTTTCTCTCAATCTCCTCCCTGCTTCCTCTCCGCCCCCCCCCTGGAAATCACATAAATCCCTGGCTTAATGCTGGGATGAGTTAATTCTGGGTGATTTAGGCCATGAGCAGGAAAAGGGGGGGGTACAGCTGGGCACGCCCGCTCACAGGATGTGGGTGCTTTACATCGGCTTCACAGCACCCATACCCCCAGCCTCCCTCTTGAAGGGTTTGGGTTGTGCCTGGTCCTGGGAGCTTTCCTAAATCTCCTGGAAATGTCACCAGTTTCTTCTCTTTTGCTGCTTTTAACTGGGAGAAAATATTCCCTGCAGGAAAGGGGGGCAGGTCAGATGGGGAGGAACAGATCCCCCCAAAGAGGATGGCAGTGCCCGGGCGTGCGCTCAGTCGGGTGGATCTGGAAGCTTCGGTTAACGCTGGAGAGGGAGAAAGGGGAAGGAAAAATTTTTTTTTAAAAAAAAAAAAAAAGAAGAAAGCCTCATCTCACATGAACAAGCATGAGCCAGGGCCAGAGAGACGGGGAGGGAGGGAGCTAACGCAGGGCATGTGTCTGACGCGCGGCACAGCAACGCACGCTGCCACGGGAACATTAAATTTTAAAGGGGACTGGCGGGGAGCGCGAGGTGGAGACAAGGGGGGGCAGCTGCTGCCTTCGCTCGCTGCCTTCACCGGGGCTGCCGGGCACTGCAGAGCTTCCCCCAGGCTTTGAGCATCTTCTCATTCCTTCGTCCCCTGGCATCCCATCCCATCCCATCCCATCCCATCCCATCCCATCCCATCCCATCCCCTTCAGACGCAGCCCCCCCTCCCCGGCTCACCCCGTCTGTATTTGCTGACCCGCTGCAGGTCCCAATTAATGGATTCTGACATGGATTATGAGAGGCCAAACGTAGAAACTATCAAGTGCGTCGTGGTCGGGGACAACGCGGTGGGCAAGACCCGGCTCATCTGTGCCCGCGCCTGCAACGCCACCCTGACCCAGTACCAGCTCCTCGCCACTCACGTGCCCACGGTGTGGGCCATCGACCAGTACCGCGTCTGCCAGGAGGTGAGGACCACCAAGAGGGTCTTGGCTCGTGGATAATCCATGGAGACCTCGAGGAGATGGAGTTGCATCCTTCCCGATGAGGAATTGTGATTTGCTTCTCCATGAGGTGGGGATAGTGCGGGCTCAAGGACGCAGGAGCTGGATGGTGTTTCTGTTCCCACAGGTGCTGGAGCGCTCCCGGGATGTGGTAGACGATGTTAGCGTGTCCTTGCGGCTCTGGGACACCTTTGGGGACCACCACAAGGACAGGCGCTTTGCCTATGGCAGGTAGGAGAGGGCGCAGGATCCCATCCCTCCTCCTGGGCAGGGAGGGAGGGCGATGCCGAAGCACGGCGGGGTTGACTCCATCATCGAGCTGGACCTTGATCCTCCTCTCCCGGCAGGTCCGATGTGGTGGTTTTGTGCTTCTCCATCGCCAACCCCAACTCCCTGCACCACGTGAAGACCATGTGGTACCCAGAGATCAAGCACTTCTGCCCCCGCGCCCCCGTCATCCTGGTGGGCTGCCAGCTCGACCTGCGCTACGCCGACCTGGAGGCCCCACGGGGCCCGGCGCCCCTTGGCCAGGTAGGCCCCTTGTGCCCCAGCATCCATACCTGCCCAATGCTTCCTCCTCCCCGTGCCTCTGAAGAGGTCTCTTCATTATGTCCCCTCTTTTTCAGGCCAATCAAACCTAACGAGATCCTGCCACCAGAGAAGGGGAG